GTCCTTTGCTGGGATATAATTAAATTATGCAAATCCAGTTTGATGGTTTGAGTTCTTCCTTTTACAACTGTTCATTGGAGCAGGGCAACATTTAGTCTCGGGGAACTTTTCCTCCCTGAAGAAGATAGGTTCTCCTTGGTACCTAAATAGCCTGAGAAGTCAAAACTTATCCACCCCAGCTTGTGTTCAGTCTTTTTGGATATGCCATTCTTTCCCAGGTAGGGGTTTTTTTTAGGTCTTCCTTACCTCTAATCTTTCTTACCATCTGTTACTCATTTTCACTCATCTGAATGAATGGTTGGAAGAGGAGCTGTCTGTATCTCTGGTGTTTTTTGTTTCTTTGGTTGGTTGCTTTTGCTTTTGTTTTTGTTTTGTTTTTCCTGGGCATATCTATCCTTTCTAGGTATAGCCATTTTAGCATTACCAGATCCCATCTCCATCCCCTCCACTTCTTTTCAGGTCTGAACCTGAGATTCTTTTCCATTTCCTGTGCCCCTATATGGAAACATCTTCAGGACTGTTGCTGTCCACCTGAAGTTCCTTCCTTTTTTTTACCATCATGTGGTAATAATTCTCACATTCACTGATACCTAGCATTCCAAAAATTGTTGTTTTATGTTACCTTGGGCTATTTTGACAAAAGACTTAATTTCTGTTGCTCTGTTTTGGTGGTGATCTGGCCATTCTGTGACCATGTTTGTCTGAATCAATGACTTTCCTTACCTGCCTACCATCCTAGGTACCACTAAACTAATTCTCAGAACTCCCTTTTAATCTTTTCTTTGTGGTCTCAGGTCTATTGGCCTGCATAGGTGCCCACACTTGGGCAGTTTGTTAACACAATTGGATTGATTTGTTGTTTCTTTTATGAAGGCTGGCTTTCTGTGTCTGCATGCCAAGTTAAGTTATTGAATGAGAACTTGATAGATGCACACAGAAACCACAAGTATCCCACACGAGCATGAATCGGTTTGTATATTCAGCACCTGATGCAATGACTTCAAGGATCCTGCTCCTGCATTGTGCTGTGCATACGGCATGAAACTGCTTCTTGGATCATCTCCATCTTTCTACTTCACTTTTAATCTGTAAGCTGTTTTAGATTTTTCAAAGGAAAAGTAAACAGCAAAACAGGAGGCTCCACTTAACCATCTGTATTTGCTCCCCAAATTTATGCAAATTCCCCCTTGAATAGGCTTGTCTGAACCATGTTCAATATGGTTTGCCCATTCACCAAGCAAATTGTCTAATTGCTTGAAACTGGTAGTGTGAGATAAAAATGTTAAGGTTCTTTTTTCCCTGAAAACTTTTGGTGTAGCAATGGAGGCAGAATTTAGACAGATAATTAAGGATTAGTGGAGTGCATGCCTTTTTTCTGTAACAGGAACCTGAAGTGATGAGCGATGGTCATCCTCTCCTGAAAGAGAAGAGAGGTGGTTAGGATGGGGTCAGGAAATGAACTCAGGAGGCTACTCGTATGAGACTTAGCAGACAAGCGGGCAGAGGGCACTGAGTATCTCACAGATTTCTGGATTAAAATTTTAAATGGATGGTTTTATTCTTGCTGACTGGGAGAATCATGGGGGGGGGCACATTAGAAGGAGTTTCTAAAAACTGCCTTAGTAGCTATTCCTATCTATTAATTTCTACCAGAATGGTAAGACTGGTGTTCGGCCAATAATAACAACTCCTTAAATTGTTTTTTTTAAAACAGTCAATATTTCTTTACTGTTTGCTGGCATGCTAGCCATTCACATTGCCTTCAAATTTGGAGAGTCATTGCCATAGTAAACTGTAGCATGCAAATTCAGTTAAACCATCTCAGGGTTACAATTAAATTGAATCGCTGGCTAATTTGGGGAATTAAGATAAAACAGATTGGTCTCACTGTTTCCTAGCCTTTTATAATCAGATAATTCACACAAAATGCAAAGCATGAACCAGCCTCAGAGGCAGGTGAGCCAAGTTCTGAGTTGCATGCTAAATTTTTGAGGAGACACAAACATGGAGACAGATGCATTGTTGGAGACTTGGGTATAATGAATCCAAATTGAGCAGCTATACTCACTTGTACGGATGTGTGGCATTCTGTCCTTATGACACATGCCAGCCCAGACACCGGCACTCACTTTCCAATGCAAGTGCCAGGCACCGATTTCAAAGGTTGAATATCATCTGATGAAAAGAAGCTAGGGATTATTGATTGGGAGTAATCTCATGGGTATAAAACCATAACTGTTCTGCAAGCAGCATTGAAGCTCTTAATGCTTAAGAACTGCACAGGTCACAAGTCAACACCCCCATGTTTTTTTTTAAGTCAAGGTAATTCCTGAATGCTTACCCAGCCAAGCTGACATGAGGCATCCGACAATAGTGTTGTATGGTTCTCTCGATCCAGCAACCCCTAACGACAGGCACCAAGCTTATTCCCCATTGTCTGACAACCTCTATGCCAAGTTCAAGACAGAACTTGCACATGCTGCATCCACCTCCTCGCCCAAGTGGGTTTAGAGAATTCATTGGGTCTATTCATCTGTTTAAGAGGCAGCATCCAAAATTTTCCATCCACAGAGAAAAGTTAAGTCATCCATCTTTATAGTTTGGTTGGAGTGAGGCTGATGTGAACTGGTAGGAATGGATATGGAGATCAAGTCAGAGAAACACCTATAGTGGTTTTAAACATTCTGTGTTAAATTCCTCTTGTGTTAAAAGCATACCTCCTGAGTATTTCTCACTGTAGACAAGGAAGAAAATGATGAGAAGACTACTTAGAATAATTAGAACAATAATGAGAGTGTATTAGCCTTTCAGTTTCAGCTACTGTCACGGGCACGCAGGGGTGACCATTGCTAGAAACTCACTAGTTCTATATTAGGGAGATTGGTTTTCCAAGCCCTAACCCCAGAAACACAGTAAAAATAAGAACCAGGCTTCATTGTTTTCACTGAAAAAGTAAATGAATCTAGACTGACAGAGATGGACCTGTGCAGAAAAGAGTTAACATGGCCACCAACCCAGACTTCGAGTTTAGAGGGACCTGCTCCTCAGTTGCCTATTGGTTGGCATTTAGAAACTGTGTTTCAGGAATGTCCAGGCTGATAAGAAAAGTTGGCTCTCTATGTCCAAACTATTTATGGAAACAGTACAGAAAGGAATGAATTCGTAACTCCCCTAAAATGTAAGCGGGGATAATGAAATAAAAAAAAATAAGAGATAAAAGATGAGATAGTCAAAGTTGAATGATGATAGAAATTCCAACAAGAACAAAGGAGGGGGCTAGAGATTGCATATCAAAGCCATGAAGAAAATTTCTAAAACATGAAAAAAATTATAAGGTTTTATAAATTAAAATCAGTTTATAAGTTAGAATAGTTTTGCAAAATGATGCAAACACAGGTAGCTGATCAGCTAACATTGTACTTCTCAGCTGTGTCACTGGAAGATAGGAACACAGGAAATGTTCCTCTCTGAAGGAAATTCATTCTCAACCTAAAATCTCTACCGTGGATTTTTTACGCATAGATTAACACATGCAGATATTATGTGAGGGTAACAAAGCCTGGATGTTTGTATTGAAGGTGACCTTACTTAAGAATGCCAGTACAGAATTTACTGCAGCAAACAGGAAGCCATCTAAGAAAAAATGATGATGTCCCCATCAAGAAATAAAAATGAAAGGAAGGCCTAGCCCAGAAATACAGAGCATACAATGTACCTATGTTTGCTTGTCCATTGGTTTTTCTTTGAGGATTTCATACGAGAGTTATGTTTCTTTATCTAATCTATCCCAAATTCCCTCCCCTTCACTTCTTCCTGTCTCCCCACCTCATTCTCCCCCCCAAATTTCACGTGCTCCATTTTTAGAAAAGCCTGCTGTGTCCAGTTAATGTGGACTTTGCTACATACATGTGAGTATAGGAGCATCCACAGGAACATGGGTAGCCTCTCAAGAGTCACATCCCTGAAAAAACTGACTCCTTCCCCCTACAGCCATCAGTTTCCAATAGATCTTCACTAGCCTCTCTGTTATCCATTCTGGCTTGATCTTGTGCAGGTCTCATGCACACAGCCACAGCCACTGCGAGTTTGTGAGTGCAATGCTGCTGTTATGTCCTGGAAATGGCTTAGCTCTTACTTTATATTTAATTTAACCTAAATTTGAAATTTTACAGTATGGCCATAAGTAGATGCATTGTGTTGTTAGTTTTCTCCTGGTGAAATAACCTTAGTATTCATTGGAGGAATTGGGACAGAGAACTGCCTCAAGGGTCTACCCTTACTATGCATTCGGTATCCATAGTATTTATTGCACAGTGCCTAAGTAAGTACGCCAGACACCTTTCTATCCCCTGTGTCCTGTTTACACCCCATCCCACAGTGCGTCTCACTTTATAGATCTTCAAATCTCCACTGAGCTCCCAAACCCCTCAAGCTGTGGTTATATGTGGGCATGGCAGGATGGAGGAGAAGCTGAGAAACGTCACAGAGTCATAGGGGGAGTAGAAAGGAAACCTTACCGGGTGCCCGGCATGCCCTGTGCTGCGTGGGTACTTCCACACTACAATGCTGTCAATCTTCTCCCAAGGTTTCTAGTGTCCATTATTCTCAAATTAAATCACCTGCAGTCCAAACAGCATATTCTGGTCCTAAGGTTTTAGTAAGACAGCTAAACCAAAACCAAGACAAAAAGCATTTTGAGTAACTTTTAGAAAAAGGGAACATGTCATTTTAGGTAGTTGCCATGTTTTTTATTTTTATTTTCACATGCAAACTTGTTTACTTTCTCAATTTCATTATCTATACAGGAGAAACCACAGGTTTCTGTCTGTTAAGTGACAGCTTAACATAAATACGGTTTTGATTTTGTGAAGTAGCTTCCAGTGTCTTAGGCCCCAAAGTTCTGAAGACCCAGGGCATACCATAAAAGGAGTCCCCTGAGCTAGCTGTGTGCTGGGTGCAGGGAAGGGAGGGTAAGATGTGTTATCCATCCTCTCCTCCAGGAGTACCAGCCTTGTAACACCAATGCATGCCCAGAGCTGAAGAAGACCACACCATGGACCCCATGGACACCTGTCAACATCTCGGACAATGGTGGTCACTATGAGCAACGGTTCCGATACACCTGTAAAGCTCGCCTGCCAGACCCAAACTTGCTGGAAGTGGGGAGGCAGAGGATTGAGATGCGGTACTGTTCCAGTGATGGCACCAGCGGCTGCTCCACAGATGGTAAGGAGGCTCTGTGGGGGCTGGCCACTCCATGCAAAGCCATTGACCTTGTCTCTAAGGAAATGGAAGACTAGGGGGAGCCCCAGATCAAACAATGTTTTGCCTATGGTGGATCCAGAATAGTTTTGTGAGATTGATTTAGTATAAGATAATATGATGAAAGCATAGTTGTCATAAAAATAGTAGCTGAAAATTAGATTTTCCCCTTTTAAAAAGGCCAGGAAATAGTGGCACATGCCTTTAATACCGGCACTCGGGAGGCAGATGCAGGCAGATCTCTGTGAATTCAAGGCAGGCATGGTCTACAGAGTGAGTTCCAGGACGCTAAGGCTATTATACTAAGAAACCCTGTTCTGACAACAGGTAAGAGGATGCTAAAGTAGACTATAAAGTAATTTGTCTGTTAAATTGAACATTGGATCCAACTATGCTGATAATTCTCTGTCCTTGTGGTTTTGTGAATGCTTGGAATGTGGGTGTGGAGAGCCAACGCAGATCCAGCCCTGTGCCCTGCCTAGCCTGGACACTGCCCATGACAGCATCTCCAGCAGGTCTCTTCTGGAGTTCACTCCTGGACACTGCAGGAATGGTTGAGCCTTTTCCCCATGCTTCATTATTTGCTTTCTTCTTCCTTCTTTTACATACTTTTATCTCATTGCACAAAATATATTCTAGTTCTTAAAAGGAAAGAGACACTCATAGAAAAGAGTCCAGAGGAAGGCATCGTAAGAAAGACAGTTACATCAATGACAAAACATTCACGAACATTTCTTAGTGCTCCGTGAGTGTGATCTTACTTAATTCTCCCAGCATGAGTGCTGGTGTCCATAGACTGACTTCAGACACAGGGTGGGTCGGATAAGTCGCATTGGTAGAGGACTCTGTGGGTTTGTCCTGTCCCAATCAAGCTCTAAGAGATGGGCCACACTGCCCATCCTGTGTCTCAGGTACCCAGGTCTTCTCTGTGAGCAGGTAGTCTGCCTGGCTACCTGAGGAGCAACATTTCTTATCAAGCACTAGTCGCTTCCAAAGCCCCCCACTCCATCCTCTGTATGTGAAGGTATTGACATGTCTCAGATTGCCCATGCCTACAGTTCAACTTGACACGGTTGTTTTAATGAACAACAGAATACAGATGTTTCTTAAAAGGGAAATGTTCTACTCTGAAGAAGGGTCTTGTGGAAATAAATGCACAACTTAAAACTAAAACCATCACCTGAAATAGGAGCAGCAAATAACATCCACTCTGGCTTCTTTTTATAAAAACCTGCTGTTTCTGGAAGAAAAGATTTACTTGGAAATTCCAAGAGAAGGGTAACAGGAGACCCAGGTGAAAATGCACATTCTGTAAAGGGTCATCTCATTTTAATCAAGATTGCAGGATAAAATATGAGAATTTGAAGATGAATTTCAGATATTATTTCAGTGTTTTCCCATTATATCCTATGATTATATCACAAATAGTATCTTAATTATATCACATATAATGTTTTAAAAACAGCTATGCCCTACAAAGTCTTGTGAAGTCTAAGTGGAAAACACATATATCCTAAAATATTACTGATTGTTCATCTTAAGTTATTTAACTGATCTTCCTTCATTTTACTTGTTGAGTATGGCAACCTTTTTTTTACCAGTTTACTTACACCGTTATATGCAGGCCATGACATTTATTTACTGTGCCACCAAAGTGAAATGTTGAAAATGAAGCATGGTATATCTTTTCAATTGACTTTATTTTCCTCTCCAAACATGTATTTCTTTAATCTTTTCATTCTCAGATACAAATAAAACCAAAGCTAGTACATTTAAATGTTAATAACATAGATTATTCATGAAAAATTTTATGTTTTAAAAAACTTTATAAAAATGTATAAATTTTTGTCAAAGCACATTTATAAAAAAGATAGCTTCTATTTTATTAAAACTGTAAGCATTGACTATGGTATACAGAAATGCAAATAGTCTATGTTTTGATGGCTTTGAGTTCTTATTAATCTTCACATGGTGTTATTGATGTCTTGAAAACTGAAAATTGGACTCATGTGCTTCTGACCACAAAAGAGGAGACATAATTGTCCATCATTGTTTGTTTATTGATAACCCACAAGACACTGGCTGGTTTCAGATATTTGCTCCTAATGCCTTGTCTCAGAAGATCATCCTGCCTGCACTTCACCAAACCAGAGAGTTGCTCAGGAATGGCTATGGGTGTTGGGTGTTCCTTGCTTGGGAGAGCAATTTCCCAACACCTCACCAAAGAGCTAACAAGGTGTGAAAATATCACTATCTGAGAGACATTGACTGGGTTTAATATTGTAAGTCAGGCTGCATCTTCTTTAAGCAAATTTTGACTGAGTCTGATTGAATAGGTTCAAATGCTCAGAGCAGTCCTGACATGCAAAGGGTCTTCAAAAAACAATTCATGTATCCTTATAATGTTCATCCGTCCTCACCCCACCCCCCACCAGCACCCGACTCCCTACTGTACCTCTTTGTTAGCAAGCATAATTGCAACATCATAGGACACCTGGCAAGCTTCTTCAGGGATGGATCTGGGTCAGCTCTCAGGGGCAAATCATTGTCTCCATGGCCTGTGATTCAAGAGGGATGAACTCTGCTCACTTTACAGCATGGCTCCACACTGAAAAGGTTAACTGCGAAGGAGCAAGTCTAAGCTGTGTCCCTTTTCCAGATGAGTGTCTTTCCTGTAGCACCAGCCCCATGGTGCATGAAGATAGTTTTCACTAGAACTCCCAAAGGAAGTGAAGCAGGGGGCGTTCTTTAGAGGTGTCTACAAAGAGGAGAATTGCCAGTGTGGACTTGCAGGCTACAAATGTGTAGCACACTCAGATGAAATGCCATGCACATCCTAATTAGATAGTAACTTATGAAAGAGGCCTGAGTTACAGGAGGCTGCCATTCTGCTAAAAGGGGGGGCGGTGTTGGGCTTGTGAGGTGTGAAGAGGATTCAGGTGAATATTAGGGTAATTCTAGATATGAAGCACACAGCCTATACAGGAGTAAGAACTCCTGCGAGTCACATCTTGCGTTTCCTTGGCAGGACTGTCTGCAGACTTTCTACGAGCTGGCAGATACTCTGCCCATACTGTTAACGGGGCCTGGTCAGCCTGGACTTCCTGGTCGCAATGCAGCCGAGATTGCAGCAGGGGCATTCGGAACAGGAAGCGTGTCTGCAACAACCCAGAACCCAAGTATGGGGGCATGCCATGCCTTGGCCCATCCCTGGAGTTCCAGGAATGCAACATTTTACCTTGCCCAGGTAAGTGGATCACGGTGTAAAAAAGACTGGGAAAGTCGTGTGCATGTAGCCACTGGAGAACTCTCTCTCTCTCTCTCTCTCTCTCTCTCTCTCTCTCTCTCTCTCTCTCTCTCTCTCTCTCATATATATATATGAGAGGTATGTTCTTAAGAAAATGTGTGGGGTGATGGTGGTACCTGTTGGTAACTAGACAGGATGATAGAAGCAGGTATAACTGAAGAGGCTTAGATTCCTAAGCCACCCTTGATGTCTAGTCCCAAATCATTCCTACTAGTTTAAAATTCTCTTCTGGTCTCTATTTAGGCACGCATGCATCTATCTTAGTGCTAGCAAGGTTCCCCTCCCATATTTCCATGTGCAAAGAGAAACAAAATGTAGAATGATTTATGTCTATGCTCCTTTGATTTTTTACAGGAAACCACAAATTCCCATAAACCACTTTACTATTGCTATGATGAAACACCATGATCAAAATAACACGATGAGGAAGAACAAGTTTATTTCACTCATAGTTCCATATAATAGTTTGTCACCAAAAGCAGCTATGGCAGGAACTCAAACAGGCCAGGAACCTGGAACCAGGAACTGATGGAAGCAGGAGCTGATACAGAGGCTTTCTCGAGGAGTGCTGCCTCCTTGCTTGCTCCCTTGTTTGATCAGCCTGCTTTCTTATAAAACCCAGGATTAAAATCCCCTGGATAGCACCACCACACATGATAGACTGGGCCTTCCCCTATCGATCACTAATTAAGACAATGCCCTACAGGCATGTCTGTAGCTGGAATTTATGGGAACAGCTTCTTAATTGAGGCTCCTTCCTCTTAGATGACTTCAGCTTGTGTCAAGCTGACATCAAACTATGCAGCATATACGCAGATCTTACAATCTAAGCCTGGTAACTAGTTTTCAGAAATATGTGTTGTTCCCAAAATACATGTTAGTTACTTCCAGGATGCAGATAGACCGGGCCCTTCCAATATGACCTCTACCAAGTCCATAGAGTCATGGCTGCCACAGTGTTACACTAGTGACACCAGCCAGCTCTGTTCCATCTCACCTTTTGCATAGAGGGGCCCACCTTTCCATGAATGAAACCCTCTAAGGACAGGCTTCTCTTCTGGTGATTAGTAGGGCTGTATGTCATCTGGCCTTCTCATAGTCTCAGGCTCTTTAACACAGAGTCCTAAAGCTATTATAGCCTTGTCCCTGTGAATAGCATTTTGTTGGTGAGATTTTATGGATGTAATTTGTAAAATTATTAGGACATGCTTAACTCCCAGATCTCACACTTAACTTCCCGATCTCATACTTAACTCCCAATCATCTTACTATTATAGCCTATATTCCTCCTCTTCCACCATTCTACCTGAGCCTGAGTACACAGTTGTATTGTAGATGTTATCCACTATGACTGGACTCCACAATTCTGTATTTTCATCTCTTGTGGTTTTCTATAATAGTGCCTGTAACGATAACTCTTTCTGCCAGCTGCCTGGGTTCTGCTGCAGATTTAGGGCCCCAAATAACACACAAAATTTTATATTAGTTACAATGCTGCTAGCCAATGACTAGGATTTCTTATTTGCTAGCTCAGTCTTAATTATCAACCATAACTTCTAATCTATATATTTTTATAAGGACCTATCTTACCAAGGACGCCGTCCTTATGCATCCTCTCTTCCTGGAATCATATGGCGACTCTCTCCCTTTCCTACATTTCCCAGAATCCTCCTTCTTTCCTAGTCCCAACTAACTTGCTTCCCTATTGGCCAACCAGTGCCTTATTTATCAATCAATAAGACAAACATATACAAAGAAGGACCTCGCCCATCAAGTGTCTGTCTGTTACAAAGAAAAATACCCTTGATGAGTGAACTGCACTCATCTATGGCTTTAAGTATAAATATTTAGAATATAGTTGGGAATTATGCTGGTTTAATAAAGTAACAGTTGTATGTTACTCTCCAGATCCCTGACTTCACTAGTCCTGGGTAGTTGGCTAGCTTTCCAATACCAGGCCTGATTTCCCTCTTGTTGTGTCAGCCTGACGTCCAATGAGAGAGCTGTCGGTAACTGTTAAAGTGTGTGTACCACTACTGTACCCGAAGGGTGAGAGAATCATTAAAGTCATTGTTGTGGTTCATAGGCATCGTAGATGAGTAGGACTACTGGTTACTTGTCTCTTTTGGACACATCCCTTCTACCTTCTGGGTATCATAAAAACTCATTCTGAGGAAGCAGGCTTTTGGGTCAGATCAGCTCAGATTCTGTGGATCCTGTGTCTGAAGTAAATGGGTATTTTCAGAAATAGGGACTTATGTTACATCTCTGGAAGGCAACTAGGGTCAACAAAACCAGCCTATAATGTTTGGGAATTATCTTGGACAACCTGACCAACAACTCAAAAGAGGGTTTTTTTGTTTTGTTTTGTTTTGTTTTGTTTTTAAGGCCTGTCACTGGGTTTCTGTTGGATAGTCTATGGCTCCTGAGGGAATATTGTCAGCCCATCTGGGAAAATTTCGTTTGCATTTTATGTATACATACTTACCTGTATTGCAGATATTTGTAGGTACATAGCTAATAGTTATGATTCCTTATGAGTTTTTCAGACATCTTACTATTATTTTACATTCCTTCTTTATTTGTCTCCCTCCCCTCTCCCTACTTAAAGTCCCTATTTCCCACTCCCACTTGTACTCTAGATCCCCTTCCCTATTGCTCCCCATTACAACCACTCCACAATGGTCCCTTTTTAACTTTCTTGGTTTCTATAGTTACTGCAGATTATGCACTCACATCTAACAATTTGTAGCTAAGAACATCAGACAAGAGACAACATGCAACATTGACTTTCTAGGTCTGGGTTACACCACCCAACATGATGTTTTCTAGTTCCTTCCATTTACCTGTTGCCGAGATTCTCAATGTCTTTGCTTCTGCATTTGTGCTGTTCCCAAGAGGCCTCTATGCTTGAATTTCTCTAGCCTTAGGCTATTCCTCTTCAGACTGCACAACTTTCCCAGCCAAATTGATGCTAAGATGCTGGGAAAGGTCACAGAGTTGTTCTTTCCCACAGCCCATGTAGAAAAATTCCTCCCCTGAGTGTTTGGAGGCAGCGTGGGCGATATCACAATAATCAGGGCTGTGAACTGGAGCCAAGGAGAATGATATAGGAATGCCAAGTTCCCTCTATCACCCTGTCTTCCTTAGACTCCAAACTTAATTTCTTGTGCCCATTAGTAGCCCATGTGGAGTCCTAGAGATGCTTGGATGTGGTCCTGGTCCCTGAGGGTAAATATTTCTTGTCCATCTTTAGGACACTCAGATAGCATCATCTGTGGGTAGTTTAAATTTTTTGTTGTTGACTTGTGTTGAGCCAGGACTATGTGTACATGGCCTGAATATCTTAAAATAACTATGTCCTAATTTCTTTTAAAAGCAAAGATTCCTTTGTAGAATTGTTCATGTCTTTGCCCAAGGGACTAACAAATTTGAGGTTGCATATGTGAGCATCAGCTTTCTCGTCTCCTGCCCATAAAATTCCTAAAAATGTGATAGCCTGTAACTCAGGTACGAGGTGGTAGGAAACCCCCCTGCACTGTGGGGGTTGAGCTATATGGCCAAAGGAAGCCATATTTAGGATAATTTTACCTAACTTAGAGCACATCTTGCATATAAAGTGATGTTTTCAACTGTACTGGGTTCTAATGAACTATTACAAAAAAGCACCGTCATTTTTTATATATTTATTTTTGGTTTCTCTGTGTCCCTTTGTAGAACTGGCTGGCCTGGAAATCACAGAGATCTGCCTGCCTCTGCTTCCTGAGTACCGGGATTAAAGGCACGTGCCACTACAGACTGCCAGGCGCACTGTCATTTTTTAAAAAGATTCTCAGAGATTGCAAGCAGATCGGTGGTCACAACACTTGTTATGAAAGCATGAGGATTTGCATTTGAATTCTCAGCATCCACATGAATGGACATGTCTGCATATTCCTCTAGCAGCAACATTGAGGGCAGGGATAGGCAGGTCCCAAAAGCTCCTTCACCAGGAAGCCTAGGCAGCATGTTGGTTCAGTGAGAGACCCTGCCTCAAGACAATAAGACAGAGAGAGTATGATAGTAGAAGACACCCAGTTTCCTACTCTGGTCTTTATATGCATGCCCATGAGGGTTTAGCTGGACTGGGGATACAGCTGAGCAATGGAGTGCTTATCTCAAATTCTGGATGCTCTGGGTCTGCCTGTGGCACTAATTTAAGTAAAGAAGCAAGTAAATAATGGTAAAGACAAGTGATTGCTAAAATGATTATTCTTCCCCTTCTGAACCTGCTCCTGCACGATTTATCTCAAAACTGAGAGGCATGTGACTGTTTCTCATAATCACTTTTCCTCCTGGCACATTTGATGCATCAGTGAAGACTCTAGATTGCAAACCTTGCCTGGCAAAGCTAGAGACAATAGCTGCAATTTTGTTGCCAAGTGTATTCACATAAGACAAATGCAACTTTGAGTTGTACTGATACACCCATAAAACCCAGCGCAGTAAATGTAGGTTCTTTTGATCCAATTTAACTGGGCGCGTTCCATTTGTCTTTTGTCAAGGCCCAGGGAAAAGGAACACTGAGCATATGATGGAAGGGCACAGAGAATCACACTGGGGACTCTGGCAGATGTGACTTCTCCAGAGAAGAACAGAGAGACCTATGGTACCCTGAGGACAGTGTGCTTTCTATCTGCAGTATCCTTCGGTGTCCACAGGGGGAGACAGAGAGTTCAAGAGACTGCTCAATGTTCCTTGAGAGGAGGAAAAGCATTACTGCTCCTCAGTGTAGACCTGTGAGGTCCAGGCTCAGCAGGCTGAGGAGTCAGCACCACATGTTCCCATGAGCTGAGAGGCTGTAAATGCTCCACTTTGTCCCCTGGACCACCCACAGTGTGAGTGGTATTTGGGGGTTAATCAAGCAGCTTTATCTTGCTCTCCTTCATCACTATTTTTGTCTTATGGCAGCCATTGAGTTTCTAGCTAGAATTGCAAAGGCAGTGAGTTTCTTTCCTTGTCCATGGAGCTATTTAATATATAAATTTCATTTCAGCAAAAGTAGTTCTGTGTAACTAATTGCTTTCTTTCCTTGGAAGAAATAAGCATCTAGAGCTTCAGGGTGTTTGATCTTCTCATGAACCAGTCTTACTTAGGATATATTAAATGGTGATTCAAGCCCTGGGCAGAATCCAACATGGATGGCAGACACGATGCGGGTTGTAGGGAGGTCTGTTGCCTGAGCTATTGATTGTTAGCTTTAGGTCATTTCAAGCCAGTTAGGTAGTAAAACCAGCCAAGGTGAGAACTAGCTGAGTGCTTCATATTAATTATTACAGCACATAATTCATGGTTCCTGAACTAAAAGTTTCAAGTCACATACTTTGAATGTCTGTGCCATGCCTTTGCTTATAATCATATGTTTAGAAATATTTTCTGAAAAACAAACAAGGGTACTAGATAATGGAAGGATTCTATAAATCTGCATCTACCACCAAATAGGAAACCTCGGATGTCCCCACACCATGAGTGGCTTCTTGGTGTGTATACCACTGTCTTGTTTTTTGTTTTTTTGTTTTTGTTTTTGTTTTTTTGCTTTTTTTGAGACAGGGTTTCTCTGTGGCTTTGGAGGCTGTCCTGGAACTAGCTCTTGTAGACCAGGCTGGTCTCGAACTCACAGAGATCTGCCTGCCTCTGCATACCGAGTGCTGGGATTAAAGGCATTTACCACCAATGCCCCGCTATACCACTGTCTTGTATGTGTCTTATCTTATCTCTAGCTGTGTCATATTGGTCTGGTGGGGACTTTAGACATGTTGTTTTTGTGTCCTTTCCCAGTGGATGGCATGTGGTCCTGTTGGTCATCCTGGTCAAAATGCTCAGCAACCTGCGGGGGTGGACACTACATGAGAACCCGCTCATGTACGAATCCAGCCCCAGCCTATGGAGGGGACATCTGCCTGGGACTGCACACGGAGGAGGCCCTCTGCAACACACAGACCTGTCCAGGTACACAAAGCCTTCGGAACTGTATAGCTTTAGTGCAAACTCACCTTTCTTAATTATGAGTGATGAAGTTAAAGACTGCAAGTTACAGTAGGTACTGGAAATAGAGGAATGGATGGAAAGTCAATCTCACACTGTTGTCCCAATGTGATCTAATAGCACTTTGCTCTACAACAAAATGGTTTTCACACTGTAGTCTGTTTTCATCACAAATGAGAAAGTGCATACATGTTGGAGTATCTATCTATACTACCTTCCTGGGAAATATACCCCAACCCACCTTAATGAGTGACACGGATGACTCTCAGGTGGCACCTTGCTTTGCTGGAGGAGAGAGAAGATTGGAAGAAATGGAAAGTAAGTAAACACTTGTAGAGCCCCCACCTGATGTGCATAGAGAATCACCTGTGGCTCCTTGTCTCACAGCCTATCTTGGCACAGCACTTGTTGTATGCTTGGGATTAGCCCATAAATATTCCAGGGTGTTCCCCTGGAATGCACCTATTATTTTACATGATTTGGAAAATATAATACACCTTAAAAACAGGGGTTCAGGGTCTGCCTCTGACTCTTTTGCCTATTTGGGGGGTCCTTTTCCTCCTAATGGGTTGCTTAGTCCAGTCTTGGTTTGAGGATGTGTGCCTAATCTTATAACTTCTTGCCATATTTGGTTGATATCCCTGGGAGGCCTGCTCTTTTCTGAAGGGAAACAGAGGAGGAGTAGATCTAGGAGAAAGGGGAGATGGTGGGGAGGGACTGGGAGGACATTGCAGGAGGCATTGCAGGTGGATACTTTGCTCAGGGCCAGGGCTATTCTCAAAGGCAGGGCAGAAAATTTAAGGCTTGAAGTCCAGTCAGCTATCAGAGGACCAAAGCAAAGCAAGCAACCAGAAGTGGTGATAGCAGGAAGTGAGCCTCTTCTGGACTGTGGATGGGGGAGCTCTGAGCCCTGTGTTTGATGTAGAATGTTCCAGGCAGCCCTTTACCCAAGAGGTAACCTGGCATTCTGACAGACAGGACCTCATAGGATGAAAAAGAGTTGCCCTTCTATATTTAACTTTGATAGTGAAGCACTTTATCAGTGTGAATGCACAGATCTTTCTAGAAAATTCCATCTATATTTAAAATGGGCCTCAAAACTGAATTCTTATAACCATTCCAAAAATCATTCTTTTATGTCTTTGAGAGAAAAGGTCATTCCATTTGTGAGGATCAATGCAAAACTTGAATTTCTAGGTTTTAAAAAAATAATAAAATTTTAAAAAAGAAAAATATCCTCCTTACATTGGTGAATAAATAATATGGCGAGCTCAGTCCTTAACTTAATATATGAGACTTAGGCATCTGTATACCTGGATGGGCTGAAAAGCATTCCAGAAAGTCTTCTACCTTAGGGAAGAACTTCCTGTAATTGCTCTTCTTTTGGCCTTGACCAAGGATGTAGCATTCGATTTGATTCATGTCAGTAGGCCTGGAGTGAAATGAACTCTGCCTGGCTGGCCTGGCTTTGGCTTGGTCACTTTGCAGAGTTGGTTTTATTGAGGAAATAGGGGTACTTTCAATTCCCATTCAGAAATCAGGGGTTTTAGCATGGGTCCTGGGGTTAATGTCAGGGAAATAATCAGAGCGCCTCTTTGGAATGGGGAGGGGAGCTACTCTGTAAGAAACAGTGTCTGCATTGATGATTTCTGACTCTCAGAGCTCATGTTTGTCTCAAAAATTACCTTGTTGACTATTTTAGATAAAATCATTCACAGAATTGAAATGATATTGACTTAGAACACTTACTTTTAAAATATTATATCTGATTAAAATTTTTAGCACTTTTACTCATCCTTGTGTGAATTTAATTTACTGGATTGCTAAGAAGCTATGACCACATCTTATTTATTCATAGTGCCATTAAAAACACAATGTGAAAGTCTGGAGTACAGAGTGGCTTGACCGTGATTGTTGACATCATTAGGTAACCTCACCTCTCCTCCTCTTCTGATCTCTGTAGAGAGTTGGTCAGAGTGGTCCGATTGGTCTGTGTGTGATGCCTCTGGCATCCAAGTCCGTGCTCGGCAGTGTATTCTTCTGTTTCCTGTGGGCAGCCAGTGTTCTGGAAATACCACTGAGAGTCGGCCATGTGTGTTTGACTCTAATTTCATCCCAGGTAAGGGCAGAGATGTTTATCAGGGTGAACTGAGTCATTGCAACATCCAGAAAGGAAATGACCCCTTGGATCAGACTTTTATCTGCTCCTTAAGGCTGCCTCTCCTGAGTTAAAAATGATCCTATCAACTGTTGTGGTTTCAAGGGGACTGGGATATAGATTCCCAGGTACCTGCAGAGTTAGACTGGAATTTACCACCATGTCTTATATAGTTTATTGATGCTATGGTGGTGTGAGGATTTCATTGCAAAAATTGACAGCTGATTGCTTGTTTCTATATCAGCATAAATACTTTACTAGGGCAATGTTGTATGCTTGTTTGCACAGAGAAAAGGGTCATTATCTTTGTGTAACTCAATATACTGGTGAATATGGGTGTCTGTCATTAATGTTACCTTGAAAATAAGGTTGGTGGCTCCTCTTGCCACAGTCTTTTTTATGGGAAATCAACATTTAGTTATTACAGGGGACAATCGCTTGTTGCAATGACTCTGTAGGGTGGTATTCTACTTATGTATAATTCCCTGAACACAACCACAACCCTGCATCTGTGGGACATAATGTGAACTAAAGTCAAGACCAAACTATTGTGTAAAATAATGAGATTAAATTATAGAGCAGAAAGAATATGTGATAGGTAGGGTTTTAGTGTGAGGGTGGTAGGGGAGGATGGGAAGGAGAAGGGAACTGGGATTGTCATGTAAAACAATCTTGTTTCCAATTCAAATAAAAAAATAAATTATAGAAGCACAGTTCATTCATTTCTTTTGACTTGTGGAAGCAATAGTAACATTTTACACAGAACAGTTAGCTTTAGCCTACCCTTAGAAGGCACCTCAACCACATACAGCCTGTGAGTGTTGTTACTCTTTGTTGAGCATACTTTCAGTTTTTCTTATCTAATGAACAGTCAGTGTGGGAGAGTCTGGCATTTCTAAACACCGGAAGTGATAACACACTCAGAAGGCCTGCCATCCTATTCACATCCTGCTTGTGGATTTCACATGTGTCTCAAGAAAGGGAACGCCTGGGCTTCTGAGTAGAGTTTGCCTTGAGCTCTGGTGATTCAGCCTTCAGTTCATAAAGAATGCAACAGCAGAAAAACCACACAGGATGACATGATTGGGGCTCCCTAGCTGATGTCATAGCAGAAATCAATACTTGCTCTTTTTCAAGCCTGAGGGACCATGGCATTTTCGTTATTGGTATTGAATACCATACTCTCTTAGTCAAGGTGACATAGCCAAACCCACCACAGGTTTATTAAAATAAAGCAACAGACAACAAATTTGATAATTAACAAAGCTTTTGAACCGTAGATTTATACTGAATTCACAATCATTAGTGTTTGTAAATGAAGCATGGATATAAGTTTTCCTCCCACCTCCACTATGTATAGTGATTGTTTTGTTTTTGTTTTTGTTTTTTTCCCCAGAAGTGTCCGTGGCAAGATCCAGCAGCGTAGAAGAGAAAAGGTGTGGAGGTGAGTTCTGTGTAATGGAACTCTTGTTGGAATTCTGACATATTGCCACCTTCCTCTTCCAGGGATGTTCTGCTGTTGGACATGGGTGGCTGGGCAGGGAAGCCCCTGAGCAACCCCTCATATTGGTCATGATATGCCAGACATGTTACTAAATGCTTTTAAAGACAGACATATCCTATGAGCATCTCACAAAGCTGCCACCGTCTACAGTTGTTTGTGTGAGACACTTGGAGACAGGCTTTGGAAGTGAACACTTTCAGATCCCAGTTGGGAGACACAGAACATGTTTGACCACCATGGGCTCTGGTGCTGTTCAAAACTAGCCTCTCTAGGGATGCTGTCATCAGACTTGGATCCAAGGAGTCATCTTGTCACTTTCTGCTGCCAGCTGAGTAAAGAATAAAAGTTTCCGAAGACTTTATATTGACCATTGTGCTAAAGGAAGAATAAGTAAGCATCAGTTTTCATCTGTATTGAATAGGTGGGGGCCATGGAACTCAATGAGGTGAGGCTCCTGGTTCAGGCCCGCATGTGTCATAAGTATGGGATTCAGGGATAGCATGCTGGTAAAACAATGCAGCAGGGGTTTTACATTAAAAACATCATAGGAAAAGGAGCCCATTAGATCCCTGGGAGATGTGTGGAAGGCTTCCACAGCAGCTGTGTCTGGGTCATACTCTTGGTCAGCCCCAGGACACAGACCAGACTGTGTGCTAACCTTAAGGAACTGAGGGTTAGGGAAGCAACAGTGTAGAAATTGTGTTCTGTCTTTAGAGTAGTCCAGATAGACCTGAGGGTCACATAGGTGGCACCTCAGTGGAGTTGACTGGCCATCCAGGCTTGCTACCAGAATCTCTCAACTTTTTATTCCTTTGGCAGGATAGCTGGGTCTGTGCAAGTCCTCTAACGGCCTTGAGCAAGCCCAGCATCTAACCTGGTGATGTTATTGGCTAAGTCTCAGAAAGTGTAATTACTGTGAATTGTTAGGAAACTGATTGCTTTAACCTTCAAGCTACTGGCATTGATGTTCAAGCATAAGCAAGTTAGACGGATCCTAGGCTAAAGCTGATGGTTTAACATAACTGATTTACAGCAAGAATGTTTGGGGAGGCTTAAAGATGTTTTATCTCCATTGGTTAAAAATCAATCAAATGTTGCACAGAAAGCAATTCAACTGAACCAACTAAATGGCTGGTCTCTATTCTAGCTTTGATTTTCAAAAACCAGGCAAAATGGGATTATAACAGAAATTGGTAGGGGAACATGTCTGTCACCAAGACTGATGGCCTGAGTGCCATGACAAGGTCCTATGTAGTGAAAGAAGAGAACTGACTCCAGAAACTGTCTTTGATCTCCATGTACTTGTCATGCTACCTGCTCATATGTATGAGCATGTGTACAGATGCACACACACTCACACGCATACACATGCATACACACACACACACACATGCACACACACACATACACACAGATACACACACACACACACACACACACACACACACACACACCACATCCACATAGCATACACACAGATATACACACACATGCACATACACACAACACACATATATATGCACAGATACACACACACATACACACACATCCCACACCACACACACACACACACACACACACACACACACACACAAATGTTAAAAAAGACAATGCACATATTTAGGGAAGAGCCACACTGTGCAGAATCCCAAGAGATTTTATAGGTACTATTTTCCCCTTTGCAGAGAATGTGCTCTCATTGAGATCTTTCAGCTTAGCTATTCTTAGTTGCAGGAGACACAAAGACTGAATAATCTCATCATAAAGATGTCAGCTGGCCGCAGTTTCCCCAGGCACCTGCAGGAATAATTCATATGACTGATGACATACATCTGCATATGGAGACCATTGTACATCTTCCATATGCAGCAATGAAATATGAGTTATCAGTACAGTAGAAAGTATTTTTTGGCAGTGTGTGGCACTGACTCAGGAGAGTCCTAGCAGTGAAAATGTTCAAAAAAGAAGAGCTCACATGAAATCAGCCCTGCTTATCTTCACTACAGCCTCCATCTTCCACAAAAACAACACAATATTAGTGTTTGTTGTTGCAAAGGGTGCGAAATGGCTTATATAACAGTCACACGATGCAAGTCCTGCCCCATCACAGTCTCTATGACAAAGCAAGAAACATCCAAGGCTTGTAATGTCTCTCTATGATCTTACCTTTGAACAAGTGAGCTAGCAGTGAAGATTTGAGTTGACTCTTCACTCAGTTGTCAGGAAGTGGCAGATTCTTGTAGAATGTCCTCAATAGATTATCCAGCTGTTAGTTCTGTGGACTCTATGGTAGGACCTACACTATTGGTGCATTTAGGAGTATGTATTGATTGTTGCTGACAGTGAACCCAGTGAGGGATCTGCATTCTTAGAACAATGTCCAGACACAGACAGAAGTACACTACAGGAGAAAACTCAGGGTCAGAGGGCATGTGAGAGATATCTTCAACTTCTACCATGTATCACGTGGTATCATATTTTGATGCTGAACTTCACCCTGGGCTTCTTGACATGGGATTCTGACAGAGCCCTAGGGCCATAGTTCTAGTGTACATTGATAAAGAGTAGCAAGTGATCTTTTGACAAGTGGCAGAGCTGGCCTGGTGCTAGCATGGAGCTTCTGCTGAGTTGTCAGTACCTTGAATGGGCACAGAGCACAAGGAAGGTGTCTTTGCAGACTCCCAGGGAGGAAGCAGGGACAGGGGGTGTCAGTTATAAACATCTCAGGTCCTGAAGATTTCAGACAGATCTATTTGTCTACTCTAGTAGTCTCAAGGGCTTCCTCTACAGTGAAGGATGTCACTCCATGTTCACATTGATGCTCAGTAGCTTCACCTCAGTCCCACTTGGCTCTGGAGTTGACAGATTATGGAGACCACCGGATGACATTACATTTCCTGGCGATGCATAGGAAGACAGTGGGGTCCCGTGGATGCTCTGTGCACTGTGAAGATACAAGGCTACTGACCTGAACACAGTTAGTCCTCTAGTGCCAGTGCAGAGTAGGAGAAAGGAGGCTACCTCTGCTTCATGTGACATTCATCTGAACACTGCAGAAAGGTTGGGAACTTCAACAGCAGTGTTTCCCCAACAAATATGGAGGTTTCCAGATGGTTCTTAGGCATTCTGTAACTCTTGGTGTGCTGCCAGGATACCAATCAAACCACTCCTGTTTTCAAGACACATCATTGCAGCTCACTTTTGAAATATCTGTTACCCATAACTCAAGGGAAAAAGTCAAAGAGAGTAGAAACCTATTAAATAGACAAACAATGGATCAAGAGAGAATCATTTGTGTCCAGATAGATTATATTTAATCCCTTTAGCACAAATCTTTTATTTCTTAGGGTAAGACATTTTTTTATATGATTACTAAATGAAAGTTAGAAAAAGTGGTTCACAGGCTAATACACAAATAAGAGGGATGGATGGAGGGAAGAAGGGAGGGAGGGAGAAACAGGGAGAGAGATTAAGTCTGCATTATCTCTAGAAGGGCACAGTCAAAACTACAGAAAGAAGAAAGACTTCTCTTTCATTCATAATCTTCAAAAGTTTCCACTATTGAACAAAATTTGTATTTACAAAAATTCAGTGCACAACAGAATTCAAGTAAATAGAAAACAATTTAAATAAAATGAAACAGAGGAAGAAAGAGCCTGGCTTATAGGAGAGCAGCAACTGAGAGCTGCAGGTGAACTCTCCCTTCGTAGGCTGCAGTCATGGTGGATAGATGGATGCTCAGTCTGTTAGGTTTCCTAGACACACCATCCATGGAAAACCGACAGGCCAGTAGTCACTGTGCTCTCGAAGGCTCTCTGGGGGCTTCAGAGGGAAGCAAATGTGTTTTGGGTACAATACCAACAATGTTCAAGGGTAAAGAGTAAAGAACACTAATGTGAACTAGGCTTCTCAGTATGGAGAAGTTCTTACATGGCCCTGACATTTCTAAGAACAAAACTACTGTGCTGTCTGTACCTTGGAGCAGTGCCACCTTTTCTCTTCCCTTTCACTGGGACACTCTGAGAGTCAAGTAGTCTGTTCTCAAGTGCAGTATGACACTGACCCTGTTTCACAGAGTTCAACATGTTCCACATGATGGCCGTGGGGCTCAGCAGTTCCATCCTCGGCTGCCTCCTGACCCTGCTTGTCTATACCTACTGCCAGCGGTACCAGCAACAGTCTCATGATGCAACTGTCATCCACCCTGTCTCTCCTGCCGCTCTCAACAGCAGCATAACTAACCACATCAACAAACTGGATAAATATGACTCAGTGGAGGCCATCAAGGTAAGGACTGGACAGTGACAGCTACAGTCAGGTAGGCCCCAAGGCATGTGACAGTGGAGCTACCAGCGAGGTTCAGTGGTGGTGGCCCTGGTGATGGACAGAGCTGGGGTACCCCAGACCTCTGGGTGTTGGTTGGGTTTGTTTGCCTAACCTATCAACTCAGTTTGAACCAGAACCTTGGATCTCTCACTAGTTCCCACCTTTTAGATGATGGAGTAAGGTTAAAGTGAAAGACAGAGGACTTGTCCATAGTCTATCAGAAAATGTGAGCAGTGGGCCTTCTAAACAAAACTGCAGAGCCCCTATAGCTTGATGCCAACACATCAGCTTATCTGTGGTCTTGATACTTTAGTCAGTGGTAGGTAGCTGAGCTGGTTTGTGTTCTCGCCTCAGGTACAGTCTCCCATTCTGAGGTAATACTAGAAATGTTAATGCCACGAGGGAAAAGAACACCAGTGTCTGCCTAGTCTACAATGAATCCTTCAAGAACTTTGTTCAACTAATTATTTAAAGTTAGCTTCCACCTACCCTGTTTCATCTTTATCTTGGTTGATCTCAGTATTTACTTTCTACTTGGTATAATTTATCTCTTTGAAGTTGCATGTGACTTTAATGACAGTTAATGAGGTAGGGCATCTGTGTCACAGATGGCCACAGCGGACATTTTTCAATGAGTGCAGAGTGAAAAGAGACTATAACATTTGAGCCAGATTCACTTGCTTAAATAAGTTCTATAGCCTTTGACAAATGCTGATGGCTTCTGGGGAAGGAAGACTGATTTCTTTAAGAGTGTGACCCCTGTTCCATTCTACAGAGAGTGGCCCCATACCCAGGAGTCTATAGGTAGCATAAATTGGAACCATTGGATTATATGTTTTAAAAAGTTAAATATAAGACATTAAGGTGAGGGTTTGGGAGGTAGGAATGGATCTGAGAGAAGAATAGGAAGGCATGGGATGTGATTATAACTAAAATACATTTATAAAATTCTCAAAGAATTAGTAAAATTGACATAATAAATGTAGCTCTTTGTGGAAGTATAGACACATATTAGTATATCCTCAGGTATGGAAAATAACTTGGGAAGTGTATATAAATTTGCATGAATCTTAGAGGCATTCTAGAAATTCAGACTTTGGATTTCTGGTCCTGTCTCCCTTGGTTCCTTCCTGATTAAAGTGCTAAAGTAGGCCAGATGCTACTGAAGACAGCCAGGCTCATCTAGTTATTAGCCAAGTCTTCCTTGAGACAAATGAGCTGAAGAGGCAGTAAATGAGAAGACACCTTCCAAACTAATAGAGCCTTCAGAGAGAGCTCAAATTCAGCACAGCATCTCCTGAGTTCTCCTTCCCTCACCGCTTTGAAAACACCACTTACTGAACATTCTAAATCTTTTCAAACATATTTTACAGGCATTTAACAAAAACAACTTGATCCTAGAGGAGAGAAACAAATACTTCAACCCACATCTCACTGGGAAGACCTATTCCAACGCCTACTTTACAGATCTCAACAATTATGATGAATACTAGCCGCTCTTATATTTTTGGCTCCTTGTAAGCTCTCTGCTCCTGGAAGCTGTGCTCCATGACTGTCCCTATTTCTGAGACTTCAGAGATGATGTGTGGATTCATTGCAAGTGCATTTCAAGCCAGGACTTTCCCATTGCTACAAAAATAAACCACACACCCATAAACACATAAATGTGGTGTTGTGATAATCTGGTCTGGAGCAAACATTTGATTGTTGCTCAGTGAGCCATGGTATGAAGTTTTGTATTGTGTTCATCCAAAACTCTAACTGGTCTATTGTTTCATGAGTTTTATTTCATAAATGTGCCAACCATGTTAGAAAGTGTCTTCAGAAACATTTCATCTTCATGCTTATGAGTGTAGAACTTCATGATGTTTTAATTTGAAAACAAAGAAGCAAAGCCAGGCACTTTATCTGAGAGATCCCTTCCCCCCCCACACACACACAGGGTCCAGAGTTACTCAAAGAATGAAGATATGGCTATGGCCAACTCCCCCAAGTCTGTGGGTTCTTGGAACAGATCTTGTTTGCACTTGGAGTGATTCCTGCCCAGGGAAGCCCAGGGATTTCACCTGCCCTGGACCTGCCCTGGACCTGCCCAGTCATGGTCCACCCTTTACTATGGCCTGGGATAGTGACTGTCATCACTGTGTGGTGAACACATGAAACAGAGAACAGACAGTGAGACAGCAGTGTTCTGCAGCTTGCAGTGAAACTAGCCTTACTCTGACTTTCGGATTCCATGGCACTCCAGGGAGCTCCTTGCTATGCTGTGGGCTTGAAGGCCACCTGCCTGGGCAGTGGGAATATGCTGAAGAGCCAGTCTTAGCATTTGGGTAGACTCCCCACCCCTCTGTCCCTCCCTGCAGAGAAAATTCTTGAACATTATAATGCCAATTATGGAAAACAATGAAAGTACCAAACTGTAACTGAAAGCTACTCTTTTTTATTTTTATTTTGTGTGTGTGTGTGTGTGTTATGCAGTGTTGAATGAACTAACGTTTAATGACAAGCATTGTTTGTATTCAGCATTTTTGATGTGTCTAATGTACATCAATAGGCCCCTATCGAGAGCATTAAAGGTGTGTACAGCTGTCCCTCTGGAGCTCATCATGGTCACACTGGAGTGACACTGCAGTACCACAGTCCCCTTGTTTGTCCCCTCCTGCTCCCAGGCCAGAGGAGGGAGAAACTCTGGTGTCTTTACCTCAATGCTGCCTTCCTGTGCACCCAGCCTAGCCCGTCCCACTTCTGCTCTGAGTCAGTAGCTGTCCAGATGTACCCTGCGAGGTAACAGATTAGAGGGGTGGGGCTTTAGTGAACCACCTGCTCTCAGTCATGATGGAATGTTGTGAGACCATTCCTGGGGTCTTCAGAGGAGTGAAGGAGATTCATTAGCAGCTGATACAGAGTATATGGGTACCGACTTAATGCATTTTAAAAGCGAAGACAAAACGGTTTGTCTGTGCCACTGGTCACTATGATGAAGGCCTGAGTAGGCATTCATACGTGTTCTTATAAGTAAATAAACTTTCATGTCTATGCAAATGTATAGCACGGGGGTAAAGATTACAGGGTATTATGAGTGTGTTTTCCCCTATCAAATATAAAGAGGCAATCTCGGGAAATGTCTCCTCCCCAAAAAAATCCCATGATTAATCACACATTTTTCAGACATAACTCTATGTTAAAATTGAAATTAAAGCAGCAGATGGGCTCTGGGAGATGTGTCAAATTGTGAAGAAATGGCATATGGGAATATCCCAGTGGGACATCGTGTGGCATTTCACACAGTGCTTCTACAGTGTACATGGCCTCCGTTGCACACACATTTGAAAAACCCACACTCAACAGATAGCTGTGTCTGATTATTTATTCCTTGTCACTAGGGTGGATTTTCATTGGATGCCTCAACTCATCTCAAAACTTTCTCTTAAGAAAAGAATATATCCTCCTGGTGTCGCCCTAAATTGTCCTGTTTTAAAAATAAGCTTCCCTTCTTGAATATTTCCCTAACGTGGAAGTCCATTTCCTTTCCACTGGGAAGGAGGGTGTAAATGTTTCAAGACGTTGTCGCTAAACTTGATAGGAACTGTTTTCCAAGTGGCCTCCAACCTGGTCTGTATCAGTTTGATATTGTAACCCCAAGCTAGAATTCTCTTATTTGAAACAAGACTGTATTTTGATATTGCTATTGCTTTTTTAAAGCCTCATTTTTGGCTTCCTTTCTCTCTTAAATTTCCATCCCCAACCACCCAGGCATTTGCTCTTGTTTAGCCAGACAATTGGAACAATTGCTTAGGAATGCCATGTGCTATATTCTGGTTTTCACCTCCAGTGATGTTTCTTCTTTTCTAAATGCGTACTGTTGCTGCTGGTACAGTACATGCCATATTCCAGGCCTCTTGTTAACACAGCACACACACACACACACACACACACACACACACACACACACATGCATGATATGCAGAGGATATGCCACCCTCTTTGTGACCTCCTTTTCAGAGTAGATCTGCTATACCTGGGGACTCTGACTGTGGTTAGACTGCAACCTGTGGGTCATGTTTTAAATTCCAGATGGGCAATTTCATTTCCTTCCCTCCCTCCGACCCTTCTTGCCTGCCTTTATTCCTTCATTCTTTCCTTGCTTCCTTTGCCCTTTGATACAAGAATCACATGAAGGAATTCATATTTTTATGCTCCATCTGGCTGAACCTGTTGTCAAACGACATTAATCAGCTTATTTTCTAGAGTTGGGGTTCATGCTTGGCTGGTTTTTATTAGGAAACTGGCTTCAATCGCCTGCTTGCATACTTTGGGAGTTGGTCCTGATGTTGTTTAGAGTTCTCTCTCTGATTAGACCATCGTCAATCCTGCTATGTGCTGACATTCTGCAGAGAGAAAAGCAGAATCGTTGCATGCTGCACAGCCTGAGACATTTCCAAATACTCGGGGGACTTTCTTGGAACTGGGGCCTCTGTCACCACTGACTGAAGCTAACTCTGTGAGTTCTAAGGAACTCTGGGACATTAAGTGAAACATACACACACAGAGAAGCCTCTGTCATAGTTCTAGGCTTTTTCTTCAAAACTTCCCAATGCAAGCTAGGCATCTTTATGCCTCTGCCCCTTAAAACTTACTGGTGGTATCCAAGCATCCCTGGTCCTGTTGGATACATCAACACACATATTAAAGAAGATTCTACTAAGAATAATCATTGACCTTGCAGGAAGAGAAGAGGGTTTCTCATTGCACAGTGGAGTGACAGAGACACTAAAGGAATTGAAGATAAGCCATAATTAGTAAACATTTGTGAGGGTGCCTGATATTGAGATGCCTCTGTCACTGGGGAGGGAAATTAACATAGTTTGGTGTGAATGCTATTGACTCACTGGTGATACTGAAGAAAAGAAAAACAGATGTGGCATGTGAGATTAAAAGGTGAGGGTTATATTACTCTCTAATGAATACCCTGCATAGTCCCTGGCAGGGATCTGGCCCACAACCCAGTACTATAATCATATTTCCTGGGTGCATGAGTCTTAGTCAAGGGTAATGTTACCTCCTTGCTTATCTACAAAGGGATGGAAATGACCCAGTTTGACACCTGTGTCCACAAATGTTCCACATGAATCTTGCCTTCAATACTGTGGACAATTTTTCATCAAAGAGGATTTCACCTAAGGGCTACGTTATTGTGTGATTGAATAGCCCAAGAAATGTTTCCCTAACGATGCATCAGGCTTGCATTTGGTCATTTTGTCTAAATACAGTCTGCTGGTATATGAATCTGCATATATACTCATGTTTCTTTGCTGAATTTTCTTGCTTTCAGGATAAGCCACAAATAATTCCCCAATAGATCTAGCCAAATTCCTCATCATTTTTTTCCACAGGGTCATCCACTTTCTGAACCTAGACTCTCCAGTGAGCCATTCATGTTTTAAGTCACATTTTGGGGTTCACTAAGTTCAGCACTACTGTCTCAAAAGACAGTTTGAGAGCCCCAACCAGAAATTTCAAACACCATTTGCCAATGGGTGACATAGTGAACTCTGTCAGCATCAAATCAACCTCTCTTTCAAGTGACAGGTTGTGTCTGAGTCTCATGGCCCCCAAAATCACTTTCCATGGAGGTCTCAAAACAGTGACCTTAGATCAACTCCTCTGCAAACTCTCTGCTGTCTTTCTAGAGCCTAAAGACGGTATTGAATTTCCCCGACTCATCCATTCATTCCTATACCTTCACTACTTCATGGTTGATACATCATTGTCAATATCTCAAAACCCTTTATTAGCCATGGGTATTTGATATTATCAAACACTAAAGGGCATCCTGAGTTTTCTGCTTTTTTGAGAAATGTATGTGAGATGGGAAAAGCTAAGTTAATGTTCTTGTTGACCTAAGAGATTAATGCCCAGAGCCCAGGGATCATCTATCTCTCCAGCATATCTTTTCAGCTGTTATCATTAAATGATGTAAGAAGTTTCTACAGCTCTAGAAACACTAAACTGAGGCCTTCAGGTTGTCTCTATGCATAATCTCATCAACCAAAGTAAATGTGTTATTTTCCAGTTTGCTACTGTTCCCTTTGAGAAACTGAAACCCTGTAGATAATATACAATGTTGAAATATTGACAGAAGTTGCAAAAGTCACTTTTCCTTGTGAACTTAAATTGAAGTTGCATTCACATTGTAACGTTGCATTATCAGAATTTTGATACGTGCTACTGAAGCATCATTGATGGAAACAGATCTCTTAAAATAGAATGTGTAAATTATGTGCAGCCTTCTAAACACCAATCTGGAGCCTGATACAAATGGTATAGCTCATAATGAGATCCCAGCCCCAAAACATGATCTTCTGCTATTTAAGCTTATTTTCCATGGCCAGAGCCTGTATCAACATGCTTTACTGGGAGACATTGTGCAGGTAACTAAACTAATCAAGGATACTCTTGGATCAGAAAGAGAAAATCAGAGCTGGAAATCACT